CAGTTGTCCTCTTGGTGGCGTTCTCTGTGGTTTCCATGTCAGAGCTGCCTCGTCGCTCTAGGTGACCATTTGGGTGTGACTGCCCACATCCTAGTGACTGCTGTACTGTGATGTCCAGGGTTCACTGTGCTGCCCACCAAGCTGTGTCCAGCTGGGGCCTCAGGCTGAGTCCTGCTGAGTCGCAGGCGCTTTTGAGCGAATGGACGGATGGATGGGCTCTCCTTAGGGCGGGCCCTGGCCTCGGCTGCAGCTGGAGACCCTGGGGTACTGCTGTCGTGCCCCACCAGCCAGGGGCATGCCTTGGGACTACCAGCCTTTGAAGTGTTGCTGCAACCTGAGGCCTCGTGGGATGTGTGAGGTTGGCAGGTTGGTTAATCTGGCAGGATTTATTGTAGCCCGGCACCATGCTCGGTGACTGTCATTTGCTGTTGACCCTCATTGTCCAGGTGACCGGTGCTCTGTGCTGGCAGCAGAACCTCCTGTCCCCAGCCACCTAATTGGGGACGCTGCAGCAGGAGCCATGACAGGGTTCAGCGCCCCAGCATCCTGCATGCTGGCTTCCACTGGGTGCGCTGCGCCTGAGCAGAATGTCATTAACTTTGTAAGTGCACGAGGACAATGGACAGCCAATCTAATCAACTTCTAACAGCGCTGTTAGCCGAGACAAATGCAATTACGCGTGCATTTCTCAGGCAGGCAGCCCCGCTCAGGAGGGCAGCTCTCTGGGTGGGGTCCCGGGTTTGCCTAGTTGACATGGCTCAGCGCTGTTACCGAGAGGGTATCAGGCTTTGGAGACAGGACCCCTCCCAGGGACGAGCAGAGTGCAGCCTCAGCCTGCCCCTCGCTGGGTGGGGAACTCGGGATGAAGCAGGCAGCATGCTGCCTTGTCCGATTGGATTCACTTCTGTGAGTTCCTTACCCAGGGGCAGATCAATGTGATGCCCATTGTTTTCAACAAAAGTTCTGTCTGTGTCGTTCTTAATGTTTATAATTGAATACTTATGAGCGAAGTAATGGCAACTTGACTTTGATGCATTACTCATTTAAATGATTTTCGAATAGGAGTTGAGGGATTTACTTCTGGAAAAGGATTGTTGTCCTTATTGGACAAAAATGTGTTCTATTTTGCAATTAACGTTTAACATTCTGCGCGACACCACTGAAGGGCTGTGTTAGGTTGCACTTTGCATTCCTGGCAAAGATGTGGGCTTGAGTCCTAGACCAGGATCTGAAGCCCTGAACTGAGATGTGGGTTCCTGAACTTCTTGGCCATCCTGCTGTGAGTCTCCCTCCTTGTGAGTTCATCACTCTCGGGCCCAGCGCCCATGGCTCCCCTGCCTCCCCCGCCCCACTTCACGGCTCCCCAGCTGTCTGCTCCCCTAGTCTTGGCACTCTGACCACTCCCCTCCCACTCTCCACTTCAGGGCTCCAGAGCTCACAGCTCCTGTGCTCACGCTCACGGCTCCTCCTGTGTTCACACTCACAGCTCCTCCTGTGTTCACACTCACGGCTCCTCCTGTGTTCACACTCACGGCTCCTCCTGTGTTCACACTCACGGCACCTGTGTTCACACTCACGGCCCCTGTGCTCACACTCACGGCTCCTGTGCTCACACTCA